ATCAAGAGCACTTGTTCTGGAAACGCCTCTGAGGTGGGTCTCACTGTGCCAGGAGGGAGCAGCTGCACACGGACTCAGGTGGCAGCTGGGTGGGATGCAGCGGCCCCGGGGACAGGCAGGAGCTTGTGCTGGCACCTGCCTGGTGTGCAGTGGTGGTCTTTGGGTGGGCTTGGGGAGTTGGCTTCATTCAACAGCGATTTCCTGACCGGGCACGGCTGTCCTGGGTGTTACAAAGGGTCTGAGTGGAGGCGCTTGCGTCCTCAGGTGGAGAGGGAAGAGCCCTCTGTCCGTCCTTCTGTCATGAGGACTGGCTCCCTCACCTGCAGACAGACCTCAGCAGAAGTCCCCTTGTCTCCAGGCACGGACTCGCCTCCCCTCCATTCCCTCCGTCCTTTCTCTCTCCCGTTCCCCTCTCGGTAACTGGGATCTCACCGAAGGCTGCCTCGGTGGCCTGAGTGTGGCACCCCTTTAGAGCCAGGTGGGCCAGGACATTGAACGTCTCCATCACAGCCTGCCACCCGATGAGCAGATCAGTGCAGGTAGAGCTTAAAGAGTGAAAGGGATCTTTATTGCTTCATTCATACGTGAATTTAAATGATCGGATAAGTTGCTAAACATTTCAAATGTGGCTCATGGGTGTATTATTTTAGGATGTCTTTTCATGAAATGTGATTATTTATTATGCGTCTGTGTGTATGCTTACAGGAACGAGGCTGTGCCGGAGCCCCCACTGCTTCTCCTTACCTTTGTAAGATCTGTTCATTGTACTTGTAACTGTTACCTGGGACGCCGAGGTGGGTATGCACCATGCTCACCCACCACCTCTCCAAACTCCCACTGCACAACAGCACTAAGTGAGTGTGCTCAGGCGTCCCACCACGAACGCACATGAGAATACATTTCGGAAATGTGTATTAATTTCACTAATGTTACCAGGACGTTCTCCAAAATGGTCATCCCAGTCTACCCATAGGATTCCCCTTATTTCCAGCCTGCCAAACGTGGCATCACTCACAATATTTCCAATTTTGCCAATCTAATAGGCACTGAATAACACACAGTCAGACTCCCACATTTCTAAGGTCTGTATCCACAGAGTCAACCAACTGCACAGAGAAAGTATTCAGAAAAAAAACGGAGTCAGTACTGAACATGCACAGACTCCCCCCCCGTCATCATCCCCCAACAATGCAGGGTAACTCCCTGTCCAATGGTGGCAGGGAGTTTACATGGCATTTGTTCTAGACACTGCACGTCACCTAGAGACGACCTAGCGTGTATGGGGAGACGTGCAGAAGTCACGAGCATGTTTATAACCTTTTATATAAATGGCCACTTTTTATAGAAGACTTAAACATCCAGATTGGGCTTCTGCGGGGGCCTGGAACCGGTCCCCAGGGAGGACAGCTGCAGTTTCTCCGAGGGGCACTTTTACCAGCACAGACGAGTGTGAGCCCTCCTTTACGTGCCTGTCGCCTCCGGAGCTCCCCTTCTGAAAGTTCCCTATTCGCCTCCGTCACCCATTCCCCTGTGAGGACCCCTCTCATTGCCTGGGACAGGGGCAGGGAGTCCCACATATGCTGTTGGTTGTTTTAGAAATCACAAACTTGTCTGTGGTGCACTTGGAATGTAGTAAACTCGTCAATATTTTCTCTGGTTATGTTTTTTGAAATTTTACATAAGAAATTTGTCTCCAGTCCTATGTCACAAAAAATCCCCTGCCTTCCCTTGGGTTAACTCATAGTCCAGCTGCCCACATTTACGTCTCTAAGCCAACCACAGGCCACCTTGGCACGCGGTGTTCGGTGTGCATTCCGGATCCCGCTGAGTTCTCTTCCACATCCAAGCCCACTTTCCACATATCTTCTACCAAACAATCGACTCGTGCTATTGATTTGCGACCGCTTCATCCTGTACTAATGCCCCATAAATACAGGGATTGTCTTTGGCGTACTTCACTGTGCCGCTGGATAACACGTATGCTTGTGGTCTTCACCGTAGGGTGTCTTTGCTTCTGGTGGGCAGAATGCAACAACGGGAGATTTCCCAGATTTTACTTACCTTTTTGAGGTCCTTTAAGCTTTCATATAAATTTCATGGTAGGATTTTTGCATCCTTCTGGGAAAACTCAGCTGGAATTTCTACTGGAGTTGTAATTTTGAATTCACACTTTAACTTTGGAAAATCTAGCACCTTTTTAAAAAAATTTTTAAATTTGTTTTAATTAGTTACGCTTGACAGGAGGATGCATTTATGCACTTTGATATGCATAGACAGGATATAATTTCTCATTTTTCTGAGTGTACTTGTGGTAGAATCACACTGGTCCTGCAGCCACATATGTATGTAAAGTAATAATGACTGTTTCCTTCTACTACCTTCCTATCCCCCACACCCCTTCCCTCCCTCCCATCAC